ACGTCCAGTCGCCTGTCCCACTTGGCGTTTAGCCAAAGTTGTTTGTTTAACGTCGTTTCACACAAAGCAAGCTTCTTTTATGAAACCGCGGAAGATAATAACGATGGTGATTGACTGTAGTTGATCCACTGATATTGTATTCTCAGTAAAACAGATTTGCTCTTCTAATGTGGAATGCTCGTAATTTTGTGATAGCACTGCTCCCTGTGGATATTATTTTGAACTAACAGAAATCTTTAAATCATAACGGTAAAACAATTAATTTTACAGAACATCATTACTCAGTGATGAAAAATAAAGCAACACACAGTATGTATTGTCTAGAACAGTGGTATTCTACCTTTTTTGTTCGCGTACCCCCCAGATATAATTTCTCTTCAAATTTGTACCCCCAAAGTTGTTGGTGTATAATTCAAGTTATACATAGTATATAATCTACATCTAAAATAAATTAAATAAATTGCATTACTCATTATTCAGTGCTTATCATAAAATAATATATATTTATTTTAAATTTCACGTACCCCCTAAGATGTCTTCGCGTACCCCCAGATATAATTTCTCTTCAACTTTGTACCCCCAAAGTTGTTGGTGTATAATTCAAGTTATACATAGTATATAATCTGCATCTAAAATAAATTAAATAAATTGCATTACTCATTATTCAGTGCTTATCATAAAATAATATATTTTTTTTTTAAATTTCACGTACCCCTGGGGGTACGCGTACCCCAGGTTGAATACCACTGGTCTAGAAGGCAAATAACAATTCTAACTAATTACTTCTTTCTCGTCCCACATTTTATACCCCCAATGGACCGTCACAAGAACATATTTTGGTTTAAAACGTGTAATTTAGAAGAGTTACAGAAGGTGGAATCGAGTCCGAGAACATAAACAACGCTAAGACGTATAAATTCCAACACTTGTTACGATTACAAAGAATCAATAAAGGTCTGAGTTTCGACCTCATTTTCGTCAATCAACTTCTATAACTTACATCCCTTTTGATGATTCTCCTTCAATGAAGAACATGATAGCAGACCTCATACGAGACCAAATTCTTTATCCACCAGCTGCTACCGAGGTAGACATCCCACTTTCGTTGTGTCCCTTTCTTGGGTGTGTGAAACAAACCCTCGAAAGAGGTTCAGAAGAAAGGCCGGAGTTAAACGCAAGTCCTTTTCATGTTTCACGAGGGGACGTCAGCTTTTGTGACAAGCCATCATTCCATGCGAGAGCCATCTACCGTCTATCACAAGCTCATGACGTCATCATGCAACAATTAACCTCTATCTCTTGAAAGCGCGCCCCTAGAAGCGACTACTTTAAAACAATAGCTCGGATCTCGTATTTCTTTTGTTTCTCTTAGCGTGATGAAGATGACACCCAGTGGAAGGCACTCCAATTAACTCGATAGTTTTCTTTAGTCTAACAAGACAAAGCTTGTTAAAAGGGAGACTTAATGGAGACTTTAGTGTTTTCTAACTTCTGATTCGTTGTTATCTCTGATGTCAAATAGGAA